TATTTCTGAGGTGCAATTGCGGAGGTCACAATGCTGAGGTGCTATTGCTGAGGTGCTATTGCTGAGGTGCTTTTGCTGAGGTCACAATGCTGACGTGCTATTGCTGAGATCACAAAGCTGAGGTGCTATTGCTGAGGTCACAAGGCTGAGGTGCTATTGCTGAGGTGCTATTGCTGAGGTCACAATACTGATGTCACAATGCTGAGGTGCTATCGCTGAGGTGCTATTACTGAGGTGCTATTTTTGAGGACACAATGCTGAGGTGCTATTGCAGAAGTGCTATTGCTGAGGTGCTATTGCTGAGGGCACAATTTTGAGGTGCTATTGCTGAGGTCACAATGCTGAGGTCACAATGCTGAGGTGCTACTGCTGAGGTCACAATGCTGAGGTGCTATTGCTGAGGTGCTATTGCTGAGGTCACAATGCTGAAGTTCTATTGCTGAGGTCACAGTGCTGAGGTGCTATTGCTGAGGTGCTTTTGCTGAGGTCACAATGCTGAGGTTCTATTGCTGAGGTCACAGTGCTGAGGTGCTATTGCTGAGGTGCTTTTGCTGAGGTCACAAAGCGGAGGTGCTATTGCTGAGGTGCTATTTATGAGGTCACAATGCTGAGGTGCTATTGCTCTGGTCACAAGGTTGACGTGCTATTGCTGAGGTGCTATTGCTGAGGTCAAAATGCTGAGGTGCTATTGCTGAGGTCACAATGCTGAGGTCACAATTCTGAGGTCACAATGCTGAAGTCACTATGCTGAGGTCACAATGCTGAGGTGCTATTGCTGAGGTCAAAATGCTGAGGTGGTATTGCTGAGGTCACAAAGCTGAGGTGCTATTGCTGTGGTCAAAATGCTGAGGTTCTATTGCTGAGGTGCTATTGCTGAGGTCACAATGCTGAGGTGCTATTTTTGACGTCACAATGCTGACGTGCTATTTCTGAGGTGCTATTGCTGAGGTGCTATTGCTAAGGTACTATTGCTGAGGTCACTATGCTGAGGTGCTATTGCTGAGGTGGTATTGCTGAGGTCAAAATGCTGAGGTGCTATTGCTGACGTCACAATGTTGACGTTCTCCCATGTGCCTGGTGACAGGACGAGGGGGAATGGGCTAAAGTTGCGCCAGGGGAGTTTTAGGTTAGATGTTAGGAAGAATTTCTTTACTGAAAGGGTTGTTAGACATTGGAACAGGCTGCCCAGGGAGGTGGTTGAGTCACCATCCCTGGAAGTCTTCAAAAGACGTTTAGATGTAGAACTTAGGGATATGGTTTAGTGGGGACTGTTAGTGTTAGGTCAGAGGTTGGACTCGATGATCTTGAGGTCTCTTCCAACCTAGAGATTCTGTGTGTGTGTCTGTGTGTGTGTGTGTGTGCTATTGCTGAGGTCAGAATGCTGAGGTGCTATTGCTGATTTCAGAATGCTGAGGTGCTATTGCTGAGGTGCTATTGCTGAAGTGCTATTGCTGAGGTGCTATTGCTGAGCTCACAATGCTGAGGTGCTATTGCTGAGGTCACAATGCTGACGTGCTATTGCTGAGGTGCTATTGCTGAGGTGCTATTGCTGAGTTCACAATGCTGACGTGCTATTGCTGAGATCACTATGCTGAGGTGTTATTGCTGAGGTGCTATTTATGAGGTCACAATGCTGAGGTGCTATTCCTGAGGTCACAATGTTGACGTGCTATTCCTGAGGTGCTATTGCTGAGGTCAAAATGCTGAGGTGCTATTGCTGATGTCCACAATGCTGAGGTGCTATTTCTGAGGTGCTATTGCGGAGGTCACAATGGTGAGGTGCTATTGCTGAGGTGCTATTGCTGAGGTGCTATTGCTGAGGTCAAATGCTGAGGTGCTATTGCTGAGGTGCTATTTCTGAGGTCACAATGCTGAGGTGCTATTGCTGAGGTCACAATGCTGAGGTCACAATGCTGAGGTGCTATTGCTGAGGTGCTATTGCTAGATGCTATTGCTGAGGTCACAATGCTGTGGTGCTATTGCTGATGTGCTATTGCTGAGGTCACAATGCTGAGGTGCTATTGCTGACGTCACAAAGTTGAGGTGCTATTGCTGAGGTCACAATGCGGAGGTGATATTGCTGAGGTCACAATGCGGAGGTCACGATGCTGAGGTGCTATTGCTGAGGTCACAATGCTGAGGTGATATTGCTGAGGTGCTGTTGCTGAGGTCACAATGCTGAGGTGCTATTGCTGAGGTCAAAATGCTGAGGTCACAATGCTGAGGTGATATTGCTGAGGTGCTATTTCTGAGGTCACATTCCTGAGGTGCTATTGCTGAGGTGCTATTGCTGAAGTCACAATGCTTAGGTGCTATTGCTGAGGTGCTATTGCTGAGGTCACAATGCTGACGTGCTATTGCTGAGGTGCTATTGCTGAGTTCACAATGCTGAGGTCACAATGCTGAGGTGCTATTGCTGAGGTGCTTTACTGAGGTGCTATTTCTGAGGACACAATGCTGAGGTGCTATTGCTGAAGTGCTATTGCTGAGGTGCTATTGCTGAGGTCACAATACTGAGGTGCTATTGCTGAGGTGCTATTGCTGAGGTCCCAATGCGGAGGTGCCATTGCTGAGGTGCTATAGCTGAGGTCACAATGCTGACGTGGTATTGATGAGGTGCTATTGCTGAGGTGCTAGTGCTGAGGTCACAATGCTGACGTGCTATTGCTGAGATCACTATGCTGAGGTGTTATTGCTGAGGTGCTATTTGAGGTCAAAATACTGAGGTGCTATTTCTGAGGTCACAAGGTTGACGTGCTATTGCTGAGGTGCTATTGCTGAGGTCAAAATGCTGAGGTGCTATTGCTGAGGTCACAATGCTGAGGTGCTATTTCTGAGGTGCTATTGCGGAGGTCACAATGCTGAGGTGCTATTGCTGAGGTGCTATTGCTGAGGTGCTTTGCTGAGGAGCCGGCTGCTAGGCGCCGGCCGAGGCGGGGCGCCGGCCCGGGGGCCCGCGGCCCCGCCGGCCCGGCCCGGCCCCCCCGCCCGCCCGCGAGGGGGGGCGAGGGTTGGGGCGGGCAGGGAGGCGCGCGGGGCGGGCGGCGCCCGCCGCAGCTGGGGCGATCCACGGGAAGGGCCCGGCGCGCGTCCAGAGTCGCCGCCGCACACGCCGCCCGCCCCCTCGCGGGCGAGGGGGCGGGGGCGCGCGGCGCCTCGTCCAGCCGCGGCGCGCGCCCAGCCCCGCTTCGCGCCCCAGCCCGACCGACCCAGCCCTTAGAGCCAATCCTTATCCCGAAGTTACGGATCCGGCTTGCCGACTTCCCTTACCTACGTTGCTCCAACATGCCAGAGGCTGTTCACCTTGGAGACCTGCTGCGGATATGGGTACGGCCCGGCGCGAGATTTACACCTTCTCCCCCGGATTTTCACGGGCCGCCGAGAGCTCACCGGACGCCGCCGGAACCGCGACGCTTTCCAAGGCGCGGGCCCCTCTCTCGGGGCGAACCCGTTCCAGGGCGCCCGGCCCTTCACAAAGAAAAGAACTCTC